TCGATCCAGGTGGGAAATCGTTGACATAGATAACCGCAGCAGGGATAACGGCTGATGCTAAAGTGACCACATACAAAAGAAGCTTTCCTGAAACAAGCGAACATGTGGGCCTTCTGGTGTTAAACTGATACAGTCTTCACATCAAATATGGAATGATAAGGAGGGCTACTTGAATTAAACACCGACAATATAAGAGAAGGCTATAAATAGAAGATATTAGTATACATGAATTATAGAGTATGAAAAAAAATGTAGCTTTCAGAACGGAAAAACAATAACACATTAGGTAGGAAAAGGCTATGGAAACAAGTTAGTGAAACGCAGTGGTTGCTGAACAGTACTTTAGCATTTAGAGTTCTAACAAAAAAACAAAAACAGGCTCTGATACCTTTTGCAGGGGAGTAGGCGAGGGGAAACAGCACGAGGGGAGCCACCAGGTACATCTGTGTGTCCGCGGCGGTGTACCAGCACTGGCCGAGGCACTACGTAAACACGGGAGATAATTGCTAATGAAGAGATACAGCAATATATATGTGTGCGTGCGTGCGTGTGTGTGTGTGTGTGTGTGTGTGTGTGTGTGTGTGTGTGTGTGTGTGTGTGTGTGTGTGTGTGTGTGTGTGTGTGTGTGTGTGTGTGTGTGTGTGTGTGTGTGTGTGTGTGTGTGTGTGTGTGTGTGTGTGTGTGTGTGTGTGTGTGTGTGTGTGTGTGTGTGTGTGCGCGCGCTTGTGTATGTATGTGTGCTTGTGTGTGTATGTGTGTTGTGTGTGTGTGCTTGTGTGTGCGCGCGCGTGTATGTGTATGTGTGTGTGTTCGTGCGTATATGCATACTCCCGCACGCGTGATTTGAAATTCAACCTAACTTACATCAGTTATCTGATTGGTGGTCTCATTAAAGGCGAGGAAATTATTGACATAGAGGACATCAAACCACCATTTGCTAGAGCAGATTGTGTACATCGAGGTCACGTAATACGCCATAGGGCCAGAAGCGAGGAACCTGAACAGTGTCCCGAGAAAGAGCGTAACGACAGCTATCGGCGGCGTTAACCTGAAACGATATAATTATACACGATAACTATTCTGGTAAAAACGGAATTGCTTCTGATAAACGGTAGTTCTCCATTCCATTCCTCGCAACCCAGATAATAAAGGGACAAACCAGTAAATAAATTCATACAGAAACAAATATTTAACCACTTTAGGAAAACAGATTTAAAAATTACAACTATTCCTCACGCGTAGACCAACAACAGCTGATGATACGAAAAGACCCATTACACATATTAACCACCTCTCACCTGATAATTCTGTGCACATAATACATAATGATATCGACTCTGCCAGTCCTCTTGATCTCCTTCAGGACCCCGTAGCTCACCAGAAGCCCCGACAGGAAGAAGAAGGAGTCCGTGCTCAGAGACGCGTTGGCAATGACTTGGAAGACCAGGCTGGTGGTCCACTAGAAAGCGGGATGAAGGAAGAACCGTATCCATGTTGACAAATGTAGAAAAGGTATGAATGAGACTAGATATCTTCATAATACAAGAGGTGTATTTGACCGGTTTCGATTACGTTTTCATCGGGAATACATGTATTTCTGATTAAGACGTAATCGAAACTGGTCAAATACATTGTATTGTGATATCCAGTCTCATTCACACCTTTTCTAGGGATGAAGGAATTGCAGTGGTTCACGGAATGACGTGGGCCTCCCGTGAGGTCACAGTTCCCCCCCCCCTTCTGATTGATGAATATTTTTTTTCCTTATGACTATCATATCATAAGGATAAATAATGATAATGATAATAATAGATTTTATGATTAATATTTGATAATGGTAATGATAATAATGATAATGATAACAATAATGATAATAATAATAATAATAATGATAATAATGATAATGATGATAATATTGATAATACTTAATATAATAAAGATAATGATACATATAATAACATTGATATAAACAAAAAATATATATACATACATGAGAATATCACTTGCTTTCTTAGACGTGAGTTAGGGAAAGATATATGACTGGTATCGAGCGCTCTATTTTTTTTTTTTTTTTTTCCTCTTCTTTTCTTTTTGAGAGACCTGAGATGTCGTACCTTCTGGAGGTGTTGCAAGTTCACGCTGAAGAGTGTATCGAAGACATACTGGTGGCCGATGATTACCCAGGTCATAGACAAAACCCTGTTCAGGCAGAATGGGAGAAATTATGTAGATACATGCATGCACACAGGCACACACACACATATGTGCATAGATGTGTGTGTGTGTGTGTGTGTGTGTGTGTGTGTGTGTGTGTGTGTGTGTGTGTGTGTGTGTGTGTGTGTGTGTGTGTGTGTGTGTGTGTGTGCGTTTCCTAAATGATATACATTACATATATACACAGCTTCACTTTTTCTTCATGTCTACACTACGTCAACAAAGGCAAGTCCAGCCTCGGCGCCGCACCTCATCCCGTGCAGGCAGGAGATGACCCCCGGGCGAG